CAATAAAACTATTTTGAACAGTTAAAAAGATTTTTCAACTGACTCCAAAAATAAATATAATTTTTATTTTGACTCTCATAAAAATAATTTTGGAGAGAAGATATTTTTGTCATCCTTACAATAATTCCTAAGACTCAAATAAATAAAAAGTCTTCGGAAATCTTCTACTCCTCCGAGTCCTCCGTTAGGCGCTCCGGACGCGTCTCGGACTTCAACAAAATCATGTGCACCTTCTTGAATACTTCAAGGAATGACACTTCAAGTCTTCGTATTTGTTGTTGTAGCACTTTAATCTTGACTTGAATAAATTGTGTTTGTCAATTATCAAAACCTGTGAGTCAACACTAAACAACACAGAAAGGGTTGAACTCATGCATTCCAACAATTTCTCCCTTTTTGATAATGACAAACACATGGAGGATATGCTATCAACAAATAACAAAATAAGGCATATACTCCTATACTCTTCCCCCTTTTGGCATTATCAAAAATAATGCAGCAAAAGAACTCATGCATTCCGGGAAAAAAAAAATATCTAAACAAATAAGAAAAATCACATTCCCCCTAAAATCATGCATTTCAAGGAAATAAAATACTTCCCCCTTAAATTATGCTATCTCCCCTTTAAAAAAAACATACAAAAAGATTAACACATATAGCAAAAAATTCCCCCTTACTATATGCAAATGTCCTATGTATATTCCCCAAAAAAAAATTCATATAAGTCTCAAAGATAACATTTAATTAAAAAAAGAAGAATTTACTCCCTTTTGATGTAATCTCTTTGGCTAAGTGCTTGGAGCATCCACTACAAATTTGTAGTCTTCAAGCACACCTTTCAAGTGCGTCATGTGCCCGACCACCCATCTTGTTCTTCAACGCCGATGAGGGAATCGTCTTTGGAAGGTTGATCATAACTCCACGAAAAATATGCAAATTCATCTTGTTTGCTCATTTTCTTGAGCTTCGGGCACTCAAATTTACGGTGGCCAAGCTTTCCGCACGTGTGACACCTTGGGGTGTTTTTCCTCTTGCTCTTATTAAGCTCATGTTTCATAAACTCATTAAAACATTCAACCAAAATATCACAAGAAGTACTAGAATCACTATCACTATCCGAATCCGAATCATCGATCTCTACTTTTTGAGAAGAAGATGCTTTAAAAGCAATTCCAGTTCTTTTCTTAACGTCAAGCGTATGAGAAAGATGATTTGTTTCGTAAGTGATAAGGTTACCTCGGAGACCGTCGTATGTGATAACGTTGTAATCTCGGCCTTCGTAGATGGAGTTAACCTTTGACTCCCATTCCTTGGTAAGACTTCGCAGGATTTTCCTCACTAACTCTTTGTCGGTGAGTGTCTTTCCAAGCATATCAAGGTCGTTGACGATGTTTGAAAATCTTCCAAACATGTCCTCCACAAGTTCGTTCTCTTTCATAGCAAATAACTCATATTCATGGGTTAATAAATCAATTTTTGATTCACGCACTTGAGGCGTACCTTCGTATGTGATCATGAGCTTGTTCCACATTTGATTGGCGGTTTGACAACGAGATATCTTTTGATAATCGTTGGCGTTGACAGCACAATACAAGAAGTTGATGGCGGTGGCATTTAATTGAGCCTTCTTAAGATCGGCTTCATCATATTCATCCTCGTTCTTCGGGATGAGTGTATCGCCTATCTTCTTCATTGGCAAGCTATCTCCATTCTTGATAGCAAGCCAAATTTTGAAGTTATTAGATTGAACAAAAATTCTCATACGCTCCTTCCAATAAGAGTAATTTGTTCCATCAAAAAATGGCGGCCTTACGGTGGATTGCCCTTCTCCTATCCCTGCGTTCAACATTCTCAAAAAATTTGATCGTTTTCTCAAACGTCACAAGGAGCGTTAGAGATACCTGCTCCGATACCAATTGTTAGACAATGCGTGCAACTCTAGAGGGGGGGGGGTGAATAGAGTTGTTGAGAGTGATTACCGATTTTCACAGGATTAATAATATAAACGTAAGTGCAGCGGAAATAAAAGAGAGAAGGAAAAGAACACACCGATGTATACTAGTTCACTACCTCGTGGCTAGTCCAGTTCCCCGAGAGACTCTCTCGAAGCTACCACTACTTCCGTTAAGCTTACAGGTGCTTAACAAACCGTTTACAACTCGAGAACTTGAATCCCACAAGCCTCGACACAACCGCTCGTAGATATGCCCTCTACAAGACTTCACAACCAAGACTTAAGTCACATAAGTCTTGAACAACAAGAAGAAAAATATTCTTCAACCTCTCAGCAATAGCTCTCAAAAGAGTAGAAGTGAGAAATGATTAAAGCTCTATGGATGACAAGAACACTCTCTTGAAAACACTTAGTTTTCTCTCAAAACATATCAATTTGAGGAAGAAATGAATGGAGGATTATAACCTCAAGATTGGGGGAGTTTAGGAGTGCTTGTACATTCTAAAAATGACCAAGGAGTGAGGTTTATAAAGGGATTGAAGGAATAAATCCGTTGGTCCAAGAAAAGAAGCTGGGATGAAAAATGCAGCATAATAATCGATTAATGCAGTGACAATAATCGATTAATGCAGTCTGCGCAGAGTTCCTTCTACGCGGAAATAATCGATTAATGCAAAGGGATTAATCGATTAGAATGCTCTGTGTGAACTAATCGATTAAAGGCAGGAGGAAAATCGATTAGACCAAGGACCAGAACAATCCTTCGCAAGGCAAAACTAGATTAATCGATTAATCAAGAGAAATT